TCATGAGGGTCCCTACATCTGTACCCTAGAGTGCAGAGTTGGGAGGAAACCCTGACACCAATGCATTTCAGTCCTCATAAGACTAAACTGTGTGCCATAGGCAGATAACTGGACAGATCTCAGTGCCACCAATGCCTGGGGCCTCTGCAAGGGCAGGGAACTGATTAGGTGAGATATGCCCAGCAGGCCAACCACATCCAATGCTGCTGAGAAAGATAAACAAACAAAAAAACTAGGTCCCGTCTAATTAGTGTGACCATATTTCCCAAAGGAAAAATGGGACACCCCCAGCCACTCACCCAAGCCTCCTCCTCTCCCCCCGGCATGAGGCTGTTGCCCAGTTGCTGGGACCCTGCTGGCCTCCACATGCTGGAACACTGCCTTCCCCTCCCCAGCCCTGTCTCCTCCACTATGTGGGGCTGGCATCTCCACTGATCCCCAACATGTTTCTCCACACCACACCCCACTTTTTTTTTACAAAAGTGGGCATTTGTCCTGTTTGCTCTTGCCAACTGATAAAGTTGCAAGAGCAAAGCAAGAGCAAACAGGACAAATGCCCACTTTTTCCAAAAAAGTTGTGATGGCCGGGACAGATCTTAAAAAAGGGGCTGTCCCAGCTAAAATGAGACATATGGTCACACTACTTCTAATCTGACATGGGGGAATATTCCTTCTTGACCCCAAATCTGGCAGTCATTTTGACTCTGAGCATATGAGCAAGACACATCAGCCACAGACACACCACTACAGGACACTGGCCCACCCTGTCTGGTGTCTTTTCTTCATTTGTGGCCTAATTCTGATGCTTCAGAGAAAGGTAAAGAAAATAGAATACATCTAGGCAATTGTGCATTGGGGAAAACATTTATTCCTGATTCCTGCATGTGATGACCAACTGAAGGTTTGAAGCATTGCATGTGATTATAGTCATTAACCTAGTGCAGAGTTGCAAGTGTTATGAGTATGTTAAGGGCAATGCAGCAGTCCTGTTTCTTCATGACCCATGAAGGAAAGGGATGAACAGGGATACTCAGGCACAGAGTCCAAGGGCAGAAAGGAACACAACCACTACATAGCCCGACCCTCTGCATATACAGGCTGTAGAATTTCTCCCAGAAGCTGGATTAAAGCATATCTTTAAAAAATAAAAATCTAATCTCATTTCAAAGACTCCAAAGAATTGTGAATCTGTCACCTCTCCTTGTAAACTGTTGCAATGTTTAATTACCCTCACAGTTAGGAAATTGTGTCCTATCTCAAGGTTGAATGTGGCTGACTTTAACTTCCAGCTGTTGGATCTTGTTATGCCTTTGCCAGCAAGCTTGAGAAGTCCCCCACTATCAGATCTCTTTTCTATGTGTAAGTACCTACACACAGTGATAAAATCACCTTTCAACCTTCTCTTTGATAAACTGAATAAATTGAGCTCCTTAAGCCTCACCTTGTAAGACTTGTTTTCCTGGCCCTGGATCATTTTTGTGATTTTTCCCTTTGAAATCTCTTCAGTATTTCCACATTCTTCTTGAAGTGTGGACACCAGAACTGGACACAGTAATCACAGTCTTACTAGTGTTAGTACAGAGGTGAGATTGCTTCCCTACTTCTACTTGATATCCCCCTTTTTATACATCGAAGGATTGCATTAGTCCTTTTTTGTCACAACGTTGCACTGAGAGTTCATGTGGAAGTGATTATTTATGATGACTCCTAAATCCTTCTCTAGGTCACTGCTTTGCAAGACAGAATCTCCCATCCTGTAAGTATAACATTCATTCTTAGTTCCCGGATGTATTATCTTGCACTATAAAATGTACTTTAAAATGTATTTTGTTGGATTGTGACCATTTAATCAGGAGATTCAGATCACTCTGTAACAGTAATCTGTTCTCATTATTTACTACTCCACCAATCTTTGTGTCATCTGCAAACTTTATCAGCAAAAATTTTATATTATCATATAGGTTGTTGAAAAAACATCAAACAGTGTTGGACCAAGAGCTGCTTGTTGGTATTTCCCCATTAACAACTACATTTTGAGATTTGCCATTGAGCCAGTTTTAACCCATCCAGCGTGTACCCTAGCATTTTGTAAAATGGCTTGTTGTCTGCCCCAAATTGGGCTTTTATTATGCCAGGCCTCATGATATAGGAACTTCAGTTCCTTTACTGTCTCTTGACACTACTTGGCACTTCTAACAATGCCCATTTCAGCCAGTTTTTTGGATACCTAGTCAGGTAATGTGTATGATTTGAGTTCAGCTGTCCCTGGATCTCTTCTCTCCAGATGGTTACCAGCATCTCCACGGCAACCTCAAACCAGCTGGCAGCAGGCTTGTAAGAGGATTCCTCTGGGACTAGTTGACAATATGATCACATTTGGGTAACAGAAATGGGAAATGGATTTTCTTTGTGAAAATACTGCATACAAGAACTCTACAGCACGTGCAGTAGTTTTTATGGAAGTAAAGGGCTTCGAGGCAACTTGACCTTGACAGAATGGAGTGCAGAAATCAGAACTGAAAGGCCACCTCAGCAGTGATTGGTGCACTGTGGGACAGTAATGGAAGTTTATAATGTTGGAATTATTACACCAGTGGTATCTGTCCATTCTGACAAATTACCAGCGGATACTGGCATGGTAGAAGACAACATGGCAGATGGTCTTGTGGCTAAAGCACCTGCCTGGGACTTGGGATCCGGATTCAGTTTCTTGCACTGCCACAGATTTCCAAGTTACAAACTGTCTGTGCCTCAGTTCCCTGTCTGTAAATTAAGTATGGTAACACATACTTCCCTACTTCACAGGGATAGATTTACTGTGGAACGGCTTCCGTATGAGGAGAGATTAATAAGATAGGGACTTTTCAGCTTGGAAAAGAGACAGCTAAGGGGAGATATGATTGAGGTCTATAAAATCATGACTGATGTAGAGAAGTAGATAAGGAAGTGTTGTTTACTACTTCTCATAACACAAGAACTAGGGGCCACCAAATGAAATTAATAGGCAGCAGGTTTAAAACAAATAAAAGAAAGTATTTCTTCACACAATGCACAGTCAACTTGTGGAACTCCTTGCCAGAGGATGTTGTGAAGGCCAAGACCATAACAGGTTCAAAAAAGAACTGGATAAATTCATGGAGGATAGGTCCATCAATGGCTATTAGCCAGCATGGGTAGGAATGGTGTCCCTGGCCTCTGTTTGCCAGAAGCTGGGAATGAGCAACAGGGTGGATCACTTGATGATTACCTGCTCTGTTCATTTCCTCTGGGGCACCTGGCACTGGCCACTGTCAGAAGACAGATACTGGGCTAGATGGACCTTTGGTCCGACCCATTAGGGCCATTCTTATGTTTGGACAAATCCATTGTTTGTGAGGCATTCAGATATTATGGTGATAGGTGCCATCTACCTAAACAGACTTTCTTTGAACAAAGATAACCTAACATTTGTTGTAACATTTGTGAACCACTGAAGCACTTTTATGTGTGGATGTGAGGTGTGTTGCAGTGGTGCTATGAGACCAACCAGCAGTTAACATGCCTCATTGCTCTCATGTAGACAAGGCCTAAGTGTATATTTTACCAGCTCTTCTGTATGATTTCTCTTTTCTACACACATACTTTTTAATGTGATACTCAGGTACTTAATGCCTGTTTCCCAAGGAATAACTTTGTGGTTGAGAAAAGCCTGTGGGCCTCCTTCTCGCCCTGGAGCTAAAGAGGGCCAGGGCCATAGTTCTCTGCAGTCAGACCTCACTCAGGCAAAGCTGTGTGTCTCTCTTGCATGGTGGCTGTGCCATTGTTGCCAACTTTTGAGATTTTTAATCACAACTGTAGTAATTCTGGGATGTTATTTTATCTGTCTCATGAAAACATGATGAAAGGTGCCAACTCACAATTTTTCCCTTATTCAGAATTGCCACCATCCCCTATTACTGTCAATGCAATTTCCCTCCAGGCCATCTGCATGTGGAAGTGAGGCTGCCCTTAATAAACTCACACTGTTTTCAATAAGACTGAAGCCAGGCCCACAGGGAAAAAAGCTGCCACTCTATGGTCCCAATGGCTAGACAGGACACGGGGACTCTGAGGAGCAGCAGAGACACTGAAAAGTAGATGGGGAGAATAAGGGGGAAGCAGGAGGCACATTTAGGATTTTCAGGGCTGCAGGATGTTGTGGGAGGCTAAGGGGGGGGGCAGAAGACAGTGATGGGGGTGGGATATGGAGGGGATAGAATAGCAGGTTCCCCAGCCTGGGGGTCAGTGGTGGGGGAGTTACCTCCAAGCAGCCAGGGGAAGAAGTGTTGCCAACTCCCATGAACTGATTCTGATCCATGAGTCACAGGATTTTGGTACCGGCACGAGGAGCTGTTCTGATGACGCTTCTCAGTAAATCTTCCATCCCACAACTTTCAGGGCTGGACATGTGGGCAGAGCTATGTGCGAAAGCCTTGGGACCACAGCCACAGACCTGCCTTAACATGTGTATAGCCCTGGAGCCCAGAGAGGATACTGGGATAGGAGGCAGCAGTGCAGGGGAGAGTCACAAACTGCTGCTGCTGGAACCCAGGTACAGGAGTCCAGCCCAGCGGGGGGCAGAGAAGCATAGCTGCGAGGTCAAAGCAGTAATAGGAAATGGATAGTAAGGCCCTATATCTAGAGGAACAGAGGGGAAGTTGAGGCTCCCCCTGAGCAGCCAGGAAGAGGTGTGCATTTTGTGTGGATTAAAGGTTGGCTTTTGTATCTGAAATTTTCTCACACCTGCAGGGACAGAAGGGAGTGGAAAAGGGTGACCCCCCCCCAATTCTATTTTAGGCCAATCGTGCTTTTGGGGCGCCGACGCATGACTTTGGCTCCGGGGTTGGCAGCGCCGCGTGCCTGTCCGTGTCAGCGAGAGCCGCCTCCCCGGCGGCGCGCCGCGGCTCTGCACCATGGGGCAGGCCCCCTCCCCCTTGCAACACAGGGCTGGGAGGGCCCCTCCCCCACGGCGGCGGGGCGGTGCCTGGGACTGGCGCTCTCACGTCCCGTGCCCCGCTCCCCCCGCCGGCGCAGCGCTGTGGTGAAGCCGCATTGTTTGTGCTGAGGGGGGAGGGGAGGTTCTCAGCCCGAGGACGGAGCGCCGAGCCCGCAGCCGGACTGCGACCAGCGCCGCGCCTGCCGAATGCGCCGCGCGAGGCGCGAGCAGGAGCCCCGCACCCGCCGCCGGCAGCCCGAAGGCAGCCCGGCACCGCCAGCGCCCGCTTGGCCGCTCGGGGCTGCTGGGAGCGGCATCGGTGGGGCCGCCCCCGCCATTAGACCGGCCGCAGCGTCGACCCGGAGACGAGGAGCAGGAGGGTCTGTCAGCCGCGCTCCGGCGGCTCCCACAGCGTGAGTGCGGCCGGGCGGGAGAGCGGGGCCGGCGGCTTGCGGCCGGAGCCGGGCCCAGCGAGAGGGGCTTGGCGGCGGGAGCGGGCGGAGGCTGCCCGGCACAGCGGGCGGGGGAGGGCGCAGCGCAAGCTGTTTTGTTGGACGCCATGTTTGTGGGCCGAGTATTGTCAGGGTGGGGGGTGGGGCGAGGCTCGGGAAGGGCTGGAGCTGACGGGCCTGGGCAGGAACTATTCGCGCGGGGGTGACGGGCGCGGGTAGGAACCATTCGCGCGCGTGGGGGGGTGTGTGGCTAGAGCGGTGAAGGGCGTGGGTAGGAAGTGTTCGTTGCTGGAACAGGGTGTGGGAGGGATAAGGGGCGTGGGCAGGAACCATCCATTGCGGCGGGGGGGGTGGGGAGAGAAGGCAGAGGGAGCTTGGGGAGGAACCCCTTCTGGAAGAGACTAAGTGAGAGTGCCCTTTGGGAGGGCGGCAGGGTAGAGAAGGGGCTAGTGGGGTGAATGATGCCGGTTACCTCCTTGCTGGGTTCCGGGAGACCCAGGAAATGTTAGGCTTGGTAATATCAGGTGGGCTAGAGCCTAGGCCTAAAATGGGTATTTTCATTGAAGGGATCAAATGAATTCTTCAGGGTTCAGCCACTGTTTTTTCTGTGTATCAATATGGCTAGACTTGAGAGGGTGATCATACTCTGAAGGCTGAGGCTGCTGGTATCCTATCTCCACGTGTATGCTGGAAATGTTTCTGCTTGCTCTCCCTTATGGTCTGGTACTAATGTACTGTTTGTAACATCCTTGGTAGTTTCATTGTGTCCATCTCTTTGCGGTGCTCCACAGAAGGATGCTTGTTGAGAACCATGAATGGAATGGGGGATTTCTCTTCCATAAAGGAGTCAAGGACCAAACACAAAGAAATGAGGGAGAAGGAGAGTAGTGAGTGCAGGGTTCACTGCAGGCTTGCAAAACGAATTGGTAGCCTTTACAAAGGTCCGTACAAGTGCTGCACCATAGGTTTAATCTGCTCTCCCCTCACCTGTCCCCTTAGCAAGGAGTGCTTCAGCCCCATAACTTTCATTGCACAAAAACAGCTGCATTTTTTTTTTTTTTGGTCATGATAGTGGAAACTGTCTCAGCAAATGGTCATTCTAAGAAAAACAATAGCTCTGTGGAGAGCATTTCTTCCATCTTCTGCAGGCTTTGTCATCCTTTAAAAGGAGGAAAGAAGTGACCCAAACTGAGTTGTGTAATGCATTAGGAATTCTTCCTGTTTTATGGTAAGGTTAGCAACCCTTATTATTATGCTTTAGGGTCCAGGTTATTTTTTACTCACCCAAACTAGGTATCTGCAAAATGAGGACAGATAATTTCAGTACTACTTCCCCATGGAGTGTGCTCCCTCCCACAAATTTTTACTGTTTTCCCTTTAAGTGTAAAATGTTAAATTACCATCCATTTCCAGACTGGAAACTAATCTAAATGTAAGAGAAAGTGCTTAAGTATGTAAATGATAATTGTCCTAATCTCATTATTGGAAGATGCCTTTTTTCATCACTTTGTGGTAGACATCTTCCCTTATTTAGGATTTATGACATTTGCGGTACACCTGGGAGGCAAGCTGCTTGCATTCTGAGATACTCTTGTTCATCAACTGGTTGCCACTGTGTTTGAGAAATTGCTTTTTGGCCTGGAAACTAATACACATTATTGTGTTTTTTCCAATATTAGAATATATGAAAGAACAATGACTAGGATATGAACAAATGGCAGTGTCTTCTATTGCCATGGTTCTCAACCAAGGATCCGGGGCCCCCTAGGGAGCCATAAGCAGGTTTTAGGGGGTCTGCCAGAATAAACCAGAGAGCAAGTCTGACTCACTGGGGACCAGGGAAGAAAGCTGAAGTCCAAGCCCCGCCGCCCAGGGTTGAAGCTAAAGCCTGAGCAACTTAGCTTCACAGAGCTGCCTGTGGAGTTGGGCCCTGAGCCATTGCCCTGCTTTCCTACCCCCTAATGCCAGCTCTGGCTTTTAACCTACTGAATATGGAGAAAAACAGTAGTTGTGGCACAGGTGGGCTGGGGAATTTTTTTAGCACGTTGGGGGGGGGGAAGAGGGAGGGCTCAGAAAGAAAAAGTTTGAGAACCCATGTTGTACAGTCAGTCATAATAGCCACTGTCGGTCCCTCTTTTCCAGTTTGAGGTAATAGGCAGTTACCTCCATGATCAATGTCATTGGTGTTTGTAGCTCTGATTATGGTGTATATAAAAATAGGTGGGTTTATATAAAAATACTCCAAATATTCATATGTTGGATTATTAAAATTGAATTAAAAAAATCTATTTACTCTTTACCTATTAATGATAAATAGCATATCTTAGAAAATGAAACTAAATTGGTCAATTTCAATGTCAGGTTCTCTTGCACTAACAAACTGATAAATGACTTTACAACATTATAAGGGTACAAAGAAATCTACATTTTTATTGAAATTTAGAGGGGCCATTTTATATTCCCTGCCCCAGAATTTGTGAGATTATGGGAACTAAATTTAGAGTTAAATTAAATTTTCACTCTTTATATCTAGTTATTAGGCCTACTATAGCGAATATTAATGGATTCATCTGTTCTGTGGTTGGAAACTGACACGTTCAATGAAATGTTGCTTTACAAACTAATAATAACAGTACCTAACTTTAATATAGTGCTTTTCATCAGTATGTATCAGAGCACTTCACAATCTTTTAATATATTTATCCTCACAAGCACCTCTATTAAAAGTTTCATGGAAATTCACAAAAGGAGAAAAATCTATGTAGATTTTTTTTTTGATCATTACCAAGAACAGTGGAAATCCAGATGTTGCCCTGTAATGACTGTGCACTGGATGTTGCTTTTTTGGATTTGTGTTAGAATCATATTTTTAATACAATTGTGTTTGACTTTAACACAAAATTTGTTAAATAACACACTATTACATCTACAAAACCACGAAAACAAGTTCAGGCTGATCCTTTTGTTGTTGTTGTTTGTTAAATGAGGCCTTTTGTGGGGGGGAGGGTGAAGATATTGCAATGGATGTGATCTGATATTGCCTGCTTGATACATTCCATCTTGCCTTTGTACTGCAAGTCATGAGGTATGTGATTGTTGTGCATATAACTTCTGAAGGTGAGGAAAGCAGTGCATTTTAGGTTTGCCTTTGAATTTATTGGTTGTAGTAAATTTTGTTTCAACTTTTTATGAAGAAAATAGAAGTATCATGGAGCTGGTGGGCAGAGAATCGATGTATATTTGCCCCAATGTTTTGTTAGGCATACTATCACTGACTGAAATATTTATTCTGCAAACTTTACTCACGCCATCGTGTGTAATTCCTGACTTGATGGGGCTTGTATGGTCTAGCTAGCAGGTCAGATACATGGCCATGGGATCTTAAGAAATCAATTCTAGGGGGAGCAAGAGTTCGCTGTTGGTAAGATTGAGACTTGCTTACTGTCTAACAGCTGGTTTTCAGAGTGCTCTAAAGATAAATTAATATAAAGTAATTACCATAACTTTCAGATGCCAGGTTGAGTTTGCAGGGCTGATGGAGAAAATTATCTTTCATTTGGTCAGCTGATCAGACCTGTGCTGAAAAAAATACAAACATGGAAGCCAACAGTTTTATTTTTAGTAATCTTTCAGATTACTAACCGTGTATGGACCAGTCTGGTCAGGATGCTTAGTTTTCCATTTTTACAATCTTATTATCACAGTTTCCTTTATGATACAGATGCAATACTTTATTCCAGTAGAACTTGAAGCTAAAGATGAATGTTTCTTTTCCTAGGTCACTGGTTCAAATCCAGCCCAAGCTAGCTGGGTATAATTTTGAAGTTAATGGAATTTTAGGAACCCTACTACAAGTCAGAAAATGCTGATTTACTCTTGATAATCAATTGCTGAAAATAGCATTGGAGGTTTCTTTTAGATCAAATGTTCATTTTAAAAGTGATTTTGTTTTCTTCTCTAATTGGCAGCCCCAAAAACCCAGTCTGGGAGCTAAAATTAAAGTAGTTCTCAGTTTGCGTCTCCCCTAGTGGTAAAAGTATTGGTATTAAACCTTAATTCATAGTTGTCTCGGTGATACGTGGGCCGTAACGGAATATGCTCTTCCACAGCAATATGGGCTATACAGAACTGAATAAAATGTATGATGGTGGTAATAATTTTAGTGACAAAGATTATGTTGATTGTCTGATAGCACACCTGTGAAAATATGTATAAGACCATTCCCTATCTCTAAAAGTTTACAATGTAAATAGTGAGACACATGAGGAAATAACATAAACCATACATCTTTGAGGTTTACTTTAGGTAAGTGTAAACATACTGACTAAGCAGATATAATTCTGAATACATAAAGAGGTCAGATTTGTTAAAGCAAGTGCAATTTTTACATAGTTATTTTTCAGATCATAACTGCCTTTTGTGCAAAACTATATCTGGAATATTTCTTCTTCAGGCTGCTGCTGAATAAGCTTTCAACAGTGAAACCAGGACTTTGCATACAGGCCTTTATTTCTGGAAAACAATGGTAATTTTCCATTACAATGACTACAACGGACCCTCTCTAGAATGCAGGATCCATGCACGGTACCGTGTTAATGCGGGGGTCGCGTTATCATGGATCCCAATTTAAATATTTAAATTTGGGATCCATTACTGCGACTGCGCTATATGCGAATCCATGCTCTAGTGAGGGTCCGCTGTACTTCTGTTACCTTATGGCACAAGTTTAATCCTTTGGTGGGTGGGCCTTGGCAACAATTTCTCTGTGCCAATGTTAAATTGCTACAGTTGGATTGGCTTCCTGTCGCTTTACAGAACCTATAGTTCTCTAAATTCATTATACTCTTATTAATTTGTCTCTATGGGACTTTTTTAATGTAGGAAATGAGTGTAATTAATTCCAGTAATCTATCAACACATTTGGATTTGGAGTAATGCTAAATGTGCTACTCACTGGTGTGTCTTTGGAAGTTAGGGGTAGCCAGATTTAAGTTTGTTTCAAGTACAAACATTGCATAAATTTAAGACTTGCATGTCCCTGGGTAGTACAAAGCGTAAACTAGCTTCTGGTTTTTTGTTTTTTTTTACTGTATTAATTTTTATACTTTAGCAAGAGAGATAAATATTTAAAATGCAACATAATAACTCTGATTATAATTTTAGGTAAACATTACCAAATGAGGAGAAAAGGAAGATGCCATCGAGTATCTGCAGCAAGGCATTCTTCTTCCCCGTGCAGTATTAAACACTCACCTACACGAGAAACTTTGACATATGCTCAAGCTCAAAGGATGGTTGAAATAGAAATTGAAGGTCGCCTGCACAGGATTAGTATTTTTGATCCATTAGAGATTATATTAGAAGATGATCTCACAGCACAAGAAATGAGTGAATGCAACAGCAATAAAGAAAATAGTGAGAGACCACCAGTTTGTCTGAGAGCTAAGCGGCATAAAAATAACAAAGTGAAAAAGAAAAATGAAGCTCTTCCAAGTGCACATGGTACACCTGCTACAACAAGTCCTCTTCCAGAACCAAAAGTACGTGTTGTTGAGTACAGTCCACCTTCTGCCCCTCGGAGACCTCCAATTTATTATAAATTCATTGAAAAGTCAGCAGAAGAACTTGACAACGAAGTAGAGTATGACATGGATGAAGAAGATTATGCATGGTTAGAAATAATAAATGAAAAGCGAAAAAGTGATGGAGTATCAGTTGTGTCACAGAATATGTTTGAATTCCTTATGGACAGGTTTGAAAAAGAGTCTTATTGTGAGAACCAAAAACAGGGTGACCATCAGTCTTTAATTGACGAAGATGCAGTATGTTGTATATGCATGGATGGTGAATGTCAGAACAGCAATGTAATCCTATTTTGTGATATGTGTAATTTAGCAGTGCATCAGGAGTGCTATGGGGTGCCATATATACCTGAGGGTCAGTGGCTCTGCAGACGCTGTCTGCAGTCCCATTCCCGGCCTGTAGACTGTGTGCTGTGCCCAAATAAGGGAGGTGCCTTTAAAAAGACTGATGATGACCGCTGGGGACATGTTGTGTGTGCTTTGTGGATTCCAGAAGTTGGATTTGCCAATACGGTTTTTATTGAGCCCATTGATGGTGTCAGAAACATTCCCCCAGCCAGATGGAAGTTAACATGCTACCTCTGTAAACAGAAAGGCGTTGGTGCCTGCATCCAGTGCCACAAAGCAAACTGTTACACAGCATTCCATGTGACATGTGCTCAAAAGGCTGGTTTGTATATGAAAATGGAACCTGTGAAAGAATTAACTGGCAGTGGAACAACATTCTCTGTAAAAAAGACTGCCTACTGTGATGTACATACTCCACCAGGTTGTATACGGCGACCTCTAAATATTTATGGAGAAGCTGATATGAAAAATGGTGTGTGTAGAAAAGAGGGATCAGTCAGAACTGCAAGGTCTACATCAAAAGTCAGAAAAAAGGCAAAAAAGGCCAAGAAATCAGTGGTTGAACACTGTACAGCTATGCCAACAGTATCTGCTCCTTATATTCCCCCTCAGAGGTAAGCAAACAATCATACAGCAAAATGTAGACACAAATTTCTGTATGTACTTTTGAATATACATTTGTCATAGGTTCTATAGATAAAGAATTAATGAAAGTTTGAAAAACTGCATAAGGTGCTTATACAACAAAGGAAAAAAAGGAAAATAAATAGGTGTCCCTAACATGTAAATTGTGCATGTTGTATTACTTTTGCCACTTGTAGTTAAAAAGCGCACACAAATATTTTCACATAGAAATTGGAGGATAGTCCTCCCCCCATCCTACTTTCATTGTTAGAGCCAGCAATCATTTTTCTTCCACTCTGTAAATTCTGTGTATGTCCTTATAGTTTACTCACTTAGGCCCCAATTCAGAATAGTAAAAATATCACATGCTTAACTGCACCTCATTTCAGGAAAGCTCTTAAACACATCTTTAAGGTTAAGCTGAGATTTACTTGCTTTCCGAAATGTACCTGACTTTCCATTCTCAGCGGGGCTTTTTAAAGGGACATCAACATGAAAATCACTTTTGCATATGACAGCATTTGTATCCAGTCAACTTCGTTGGTTTTTTGATAGTCAGTTGTTCTTAGTGTCCTGTGCATTTAGCACCATATCATTCTCTGTACTTTGAACAGAGCTTGCAGTTATGTTCTTCCCTGAGCCCGCAGTGAAAAGAGGACAATGTGGAGGAGGAGGGTGAATATAAGCATGTTCTGTGGTCCAACTGCTGTTCCATGCTGGAAAGACCCTTAATATCAGCAGGGAACGGGGGGAAAAAAAGCAACATAAAACATTTTAATACAGGAATTAATCAAAATACTCTCTACATGCTGATTAAAGAATACTTTATCAGAAATTGGAATTTTTTGAAATTAGTAAATTGAATAAACATTCAAGTTGAGAGTTTCCCTCAAAATTTCATCTTAGACCACCAATACTAGTGGCTTCGGTTGAATTGGACATCCTGTGCTCATTCAATTTTAGTCTACTGTAGAATGTTTTCCAAGTAGTATAAGAAGCACTCTGAGGCAGTTCTTTGGCTAACGGGTTAGATCAGTGGCGGGCAGCCTGCGGCTTGCAAGGGTAACCTGACTGCGGGTGGCATGACATTTTGCTGACATTGTCTGCAGGCCTGCTGCTTCCCACAGCTCCCATTGGCCAGGAACGGCGAACTGCGGCCACTGATCTGTGGGGGGCCATGCCTGCAGACTGTCAACGTCAGCAAAATGTCTCACGGCCTGCAATCAGATTACCCTGATGCGGCCTGCAGGTTGCCCACCACTGGGTTAGATTCTCGCGTGGCTGTTCCCACACCTTCTGTTTGGTATTGCAGTGCAGCTATATTCTTCAAGGCTGGCAAGAATTACAGTTTGATGCTGTGCAGATTTCTTCTTGAAATTAACCAGGAAGTCATTAAAGCACTATGCTACAGTTTAATAATGCATCTGAAATGAATTATTAGGCATGGGACCAAAAGCTCTGTGCCATCAATACATTGACACTAATACATGTACATGAGAACATAAAAATAGCCATCCTGGGTCAAACCATTGGTCCATCTAGCTCAGTAACCAGTCTTTCAACAGTGGCTGGTGCCAAATGCTTCAGAGGGAGGGAACAGAACAGGGAAATTTATCAAGTGATCTGGCTTCTAACAGTGAGATTTTAGGACACCCAGAGCACGGATGGACCTATCCTCCATGAATTTATTGAATTATTTTTTGAACCCAATAATAGTTTTTTGCCTTCAGTTAACTTTCATTGGGTGACCCCTGATTGTTGTGTTATGTGAAGGAATAAATAACACTGCCTTACTCACTTTTTCAACACCATTCATGATTTTATAGACCTCTATCATTACGTCTCCTCAGTCTTCTCTTTTTCTAAACTGAACCGTCCCAGTCTTTTTAATCTCTCCTCGTATGGAAGCTGTTCCATACCCCTAACAGTCTTTGTTGCCCTTCTCTGTATTTTTTTCCATTCTAATTTTTTTTTTTTTTTTGAGTTAGGGTGACCAGAACTGTATACAATATTCCTGGTATGGGTGTACCATGGATTTATATAGTGGCATTATGTTTTCTGGTTTACTATCTATCCTTTTCCAAATGGTTCCTAACATAGTTAGCTTTTTTGACTGCCACTGCACATTGCGGGAATGTTTTCAGAGAACTTTACAGAGTGACTCCCAAGATCTCTCTTTTGAGTGGCAACAGCTAATGTAGACCCCATCATTTTGTATGTATAGTTGGGATTATGTTTTCCAACGTGCAGTACTTTGCATTTATCTACATTTATCTTCACCTTCAACTTTCTTTCCCAGTCACTCAGTTTTGTGAGATTCCTTTGTATCTCTTCACAGTCTGCTTTCCAAATCATTTATGAATATGTTGAATGGCACTGGTCCCAGTACAGATTCTTGGGGTAACTCCACTCTTTTCCTCTCGCCAGTCTGAAAGCTGGCCATTTATTCCTACCCTTTGTTTTCTATCTTGAAACCAGTTCTGATCCATGAGAGGCCCTTCCGTCTTATACCATGCCTGCTTAGTTTTCTTAAGTGCCTTTGGGGAGGGACCTAGTCAAAAGCTTTTTGAAAGTCCAAGTACACTATATCCACTGGATAATCCTTATCCAAGTTTGTTGACACCCTGAAAGAATTATAATAGATTAGTGAAGCATGATTTCCCTTTACGAAATCTGTTGATTCTCCACAATGTATTGTGTTCATCTGTGTGTCTGACAATTCTGTTCTTTGTTACAATTTCAGTCAGTTGCCTGGTATTGAAGTTAGGCCTACGGGCCTGTAATTGCCAGAAGTGTCTCTGGAGCCTGTTTTAAAAATCGGTGTCACATTAGTTATCTACCAGTTATCTAGTACCAATGTTGATTTAAGTGCTGTGTTACATACCACAGGAAGCAGTTCTGCAATTTCATATTCGAGTTCCTTCAGAACTCTTGGGTGAATATCCTCTGGTTCTGGTCACAACTTATTATTTAATTTATGAATTTTTCCTCTATTGACATCTCAATCTGGGACAGTTTCTCAGATTTGTCACCTAAAAATAATGGCTAAGGTATCTACCTCGCGTTCTTTACAGGGAAGATAGATGCAAAGAATTCATTTAGCTTTTCTGCAGTAGCCTTGTCTTCCTGGAGTGCTCCTTTAACATCTGAATCTTCCCAAGGCCCCACTGATTATTTGGCAGGCTTCCTTCTTTTGATGTACTTTACATTTTTTGCTGTGTCTTGAAGTACAATTGTATAGTTAAAACTAAAACTGAATAGTTCTTTTAAAAATGTTTCCATTATTTAAAAAAAAAAAAACAAAAACATGGGTGGGATAAAATTTCTGTGATCCTAATCTTGCTCTTTTTCATTTTAAACTTTGTTATATTGTAAGTTCCTGCAGGAACTTAAACCTGTTTCTTGTACAGTTTTTTGTATATATGTATAAAATATATGTAAACACACTGAAAATTATATAGTGTACTGGTTTTAGTGCCTGCAGGAGTTTGTTATATGCAGAAGTGTAAATACAAACTAAAATGGACCAAAACTAGTATCAAAGCTATTTTCACCTGTTAAAATTGTGTGTGTGTGTGTTACCAATACTTTAAACAAGGACTGCTGGTGTACTGGCAGTCTAATTTAGAACTTGTGTGAGTTAATGAGAGACTGATAATTTCATAAAAGCTAACACTGTGAGAGATTTCCTTTGCGTGGGGGGAGGAGAGCAAAGTTGCAAGACTGTAACTTGGCTTCATTTATCTATTTTCAAATTTAGGAGGACTTAGAACAGCTTAATTAAATGAAGAGAGCACTGAAACTTATTTTTGTCGGATTCCATTCACTTACGTTAATTGAGTTTTAATACCTCTTGAATGTGGAGACATACTGATTATGATGTCAGAGACTTGGGACAGAAGGTTTGTCAGAGAGGCATACTGACTTCGGTTTTGCTGAACAATTGGGACTTTACCTAGTTGATACTCAAAAACACAACATATAGTAGGGGTCAGGAAATAAATATGACACATAATTTAGGGAAAGAGATTTTTTTCTGATGTGCCTCTCTCTTCATACTGATTTCATTTCCAGCATTGTTATAGCACCAGTATTCTCTTTTTAGGATTAAGCGAGACGAATGCTTTGTAAGATACTTTGTGGCAGGGACAATGTTTGTGTTCATAATGTTTACTACAACAGGGCCCTGATCCTGATTGGGCCTTTGAGCTCTACCTAATACTACAAATAAATTATACCATTTGATGTATAATGTACGTATAATGTATGGTTAGAGCTGGTCAAATTATTCTTTACAAATAATGGTTGTTGAGAATGTAGCCCCCTTCTGTTCCGATTTCTGTTAATATGTACGCTGAATAGCTTGGACGAACAGCTTTCAGTCTCTCTGGGTTGGTAGCAGACTTCAGTTAGATTGTACTCCGTTCATTATTCATGGTTTGTGATTGATTAAATGAAATTATTTCTGCTTCTTGATGAGATAATTAATATTTTAAAACAGGGTAATAGCAAGTAACAAATACTCTTGTTCACATGAAAAATAGGTATTCATACATTAAGTCTAGCTCCAAAAATGTTTGCAAGCAATTCTGTTTGCTTGAATGTTCACAGATAACAAGGGGAACAGGAATTAAACAGGTTGAATTAAATAGCAAGTTAGAATTTAAATGTTCAAACAGTGTTGAACCGTTCTACCTTTTTTTCAGTTCTTCCTCTTTTTTTTTTTTTAATTAATTCTCACTAAAATGAGGCCATCACATATGTGTCGAGGAGGGGGAGGGTAAGGAGCGGGGGGGGGCATTATGGTCAGAATGACCCAATTTTAATATTTGATATCTTATGAAAAATCAGGGATAGAAATAAGTTCTCTACATTGTTGGGAAAACTGCTTCCATTCCCAGATTCCACAGATATTCCAGCATTTGTTTCCAGCCTTGCTCTGAAGCAGTTGGACATGTAATGTTCACTGATTTCTCAGACCAGAAATTAT